AGATTCCAACTTCTACCGCTAGTTCTCGTGTAGTTATATGAGGATTTTCATTAATAAAATCCTCCACCCTTCCAATTGTTTCTGGGGTGACAGCATCATGGGGACGACCAGAACGAATTTCGTCTTTAATGGTTTGCTGGCCCAGTTCAAATGCCTCAATCCAGCGATAAATTGTACTTTTAGACAGTGCTTTGTCTCCCTCTACAACTATTAGCTTTTTATGAATATCAGCAACTGAAGTGCCATTCTTCCATTCAACAAAAATATAGTAACGTTGATGTTCACGAGTAGAATTTTCCATTTGTTTTTGATGAGGAAATTCAAAAAATATTTTTTTATGAACCAGTCAATCAAATTTCGCCAATTTTTTTTCCTCAAATATATCGATGGTACTACTTTCAGTAAATCATAACTTTGTTTAGGTATACCCACATATTATTGAGTAATACAATGATTCTCATTACTTTTCAGCCATACCATGTATAAATCATGTTACTGTAAAACTGTGATTGCCTTCATATGAGGGTCATGACTCATATCCTGAACCTGAATGATTTTTATTTCTCATAATAGGAGCTACTTTATTATTTAAACAAGAATTTGAATTCGAAGAGCAGTGAGCTAAAATAAACCAATAACAAAAACACAAAGTTCCTTCAATTTTTTTTTCATTGTATATTCTACAAATAGAGTAACGAAAGTGAATTATTAGTTACTACCACCATTATTATTTTATGCTCAAAACTGCACATTAATGACAAAATATATTTTTTTTTGTTATTAAAAAAAAAATTATATACACAAAATTATCATTTATTGATTCATCACCTTTTTTTCAAACATAATCTTTATCATCCCAGGAAATAAATTTTCTCTGATAATTTTTTTTTAATACATTAGCTTCAGTCCTATTTGTATACAATTTAAATGCTAGTTTCTTTATTTCTTCTTTCATTGAAAAATAAAATTTAACTATTATGTTTGTTTTTTTTTGGTAGATACTTGATTGTGAAGTAGTTGATTTTGAGATTTAGCAAATAGTGAAGCACCTGAATTGTGAAGATTAGCTCTTCACCTGTATGAAATTTGTATAAATTCTGCCTCTATTGAAAGACTCTGATCCAATATGGGTTTTATACATTCAAAAAAAGGGAATTGTCTTTATGTATGTAAAAAAAATAGTTAAGTTTTATTATAAAATGATTAATTAATAAAAATTAAAGATTATTTATTAAAGCATGAAAAAAGTTCTTGGAATGGAGTGAATTATTTCAAAAGAAAAAATAGTTGGAAATTAAAAAATATGGAAACCTTTATAAGAGAAATCACATTGTAATTCTCATAATCAAGAATCTGTTAGTGATGATAATGAAGATGAACTGCTTGATGCAAATGAAGTAACTAATGATATGACACTCAGAGATGATAATATTGAAAATAATGACTGAAAATTAGCATCTTTTGAAAGAGAAGAGGATTTAGATGTCTTTGAAGAAGGAACTGATAATTCAATTAACAGAACTGAAGATTGGGTAGAACTTATTCAAAATTGGATGAATATGATTGATGATAATGAAGATATTTATGACCCTTTAGAATTTATATTTGTAGATCATACTATACATCCTGTTGATGATCCAATTGCCTAATAAAGTCTGTGTAGTATTTTTAATGATAATTTAGAATACCTGATTTTGTAAATTCATTTGATTAAATGTTAAAATTTGAATTTAAAATTAAACAATATGATTGGTTCAGCAAATGACTGTGTCATTTAAAATTGACTTTCAAATGACCAAATGACTAAGTCATTTGTCATCACTATGCTAAGAAGATTATAAATAGTCAAAAATCTTAGTATCTGGTTATAATTCAATTATTTTAATTAAAAAAGGTCATGTTTATGATAAATGTGGTTAATTTCACCTGATTTACAATATAATTGTAGTTAACTGGGAAAAATTCAAAGTTAATTAAATCCCTGTGAACATAGAATTTATCATCATCCAGCTTTACATGCTCCAACTCCAACCTTCGAGAAAGTGCATATTTATCTATACTTCTGGATCTGCATAAAATAACCCATTGACTTCTAAACAATTCTTTTTTGCAACAGCACATATTGCCTTTATAGCTTTATATTGGACTTTCAATTGATTTCTTATAATGAATAATTCTGTTCTAAGATTGATATTAAAGGCAAACTGGAATTTTGTAGCTTTGATTAAGGATTGGGTGCATTGAAATCTTAATACTGGTGGCATTTCCCCATAAAGTCTAAATGTATTTAAGAACCACTTCAGTGATTTGTATATAATTTCAGTGCGATTTTGATAAAGTTTATGCCTGGCCTCTAATCTCCACAATTTGTTAACATAGGTTAATCTAAGGATGTAGTAGGTAAATAGTTGAATATATTTTCTAGAATTTCGGGTGTACCTAATATACTACTCATTTTTGATAATGATACTGTGAGATAGTAAATCTTGGACCTATCAATTACCCGGTTAATATTGACCAATTAGAACGAATTTACTACGGAAGTCATGTGATGTGTTAAATTGTAACGGCTACGCCGCACATTGTGCAGTGTTATATGAAAGATTATTCATATTTCTATATTTATATTTATTAACCTACTCATCCGATTAGTTGATAAGCATATTATTGGAGAGTAGGGTAGCACATATCACATTATTTGTACTGTATCAAGAGGTATAAATATACTTGGCTTTAGACCAAGTTAATAATAATCAATTGTTAATATTGTTAATAACAACCTTGATAACAACAACATAATAATAACTCTTAATAAATATATAACCCTACATAAAATAGTCTTTGACTGTAAGTAACTAATAAACCCAGTGTGATTGACCCCCCAGCCCTTCTAATGGTTAATGGTTTGGCCAACCTTTAATTATTAGTTGGGAATCCTTTTAATTATTCAGATACATCTCAAGGGACGCCTTTGGGATATAATTATTTAAATAGAACCTAGTGACTGTAAGTCAGCAAGTAGGCTGTGTGTCATATATATAAATAAAGGAAACTTGACTGTAAGTCAGTGAGTAGGCTGTGTGTCAAACATATAGAATCAACCATAAGTCAGCGAGTTGAGCATTAAATGACCTATTATTTAGGAAACTTGGATTGCACACTCGCAATACTTTGTACCTGGATTTGTTTAATTCTTTGGCTAATTATTCAAATAAATTTTTTTATTGATACCTACCTATCTATAACATGGGTTAATTCAATTTATTTTTTTACACAGGAAAATTGGTCCAAACTGTAAATCCAATTCGTTTTTTTACACAGGAAGTATAGGGAAAATTGGTCCAAATGGATCTAACTGATCTGAAAAGGGTATTTGGACAGCTAATATCTGATTTAACCTTCTAGCTATGAAATAATGCTTTCCTGGTATAATTTTTGGATTGGTCCAAAGGTCTTAGGAAATTTCGAAAAAAAAAAGATATATTGGGGGGCATATATTAATATTATATATTGATTTTCATTCTTAGACCATTGGGCCATTTTTTGATTTTATCAATTTTGATGTTTTTGGATTATTTGAAAAGTAAATTGATTAGTATTTATGTATTTTTTGGTCTTAAGACTGGTATTAGTTTGGTATTAAGAGGTATTATATATATTTAGACCATTTTTTTATTTTGAATTTTTTAACTTTTTTTTGCATTTGAGCCAATGCAATGGTGATATCTTGATGAGAGGAAATTTTCCGAATCTCATCCTGCAACAACTGAAAAGTAAATGGTTCTAATGAATATCAAAAAGCAATTGACTTTTTAGAAAAAGGTTGTAAATGTGGTTGTTCTTCAATAATTCCCAACTTAAAGTCATGGATAGTGGATTAACAAGCGGTAGTAGACACCTTAAAAAGGAAACTATATCTAATAAAAGAACTTTCTATCATTGGGTTCACAATGCATTTCTTGTCAAGAAATTTACCTCAATATGTTGGGGGTTGGCAGGACTTATTTTGAAAATCTTAGAAATCACCTGATAAATAATGGTCTTCTACCAGAATTTATGGTAATATTAAAAGAATGCCTCAATGGAAAACAAAAATGGTAATTGATAAAAATCTTGCAGAAGTATTAAAGAATTTTCTGGAAAATTATGCTGAAGTTCATGGATTACCAAACCCAGAAGAAGTATCAATAGAATAACCCAATCAATTGTATTCTTACCAGCTGAAACACAATAACTTTTTCATAATACTGATGAAATATTTGAGTTATCAACCTGTCATTCATTCTCATTCATCAGGAATCTTGTTATTAAAATTAATAAAATTATTAAATAGTATCATGAAATATATTATAATTATAAATTAATTTGTAAGCTTTTTGGTATAAATAAAGTCTATGCCAAATTTTGTATATATATATATATTTTATATTACTTCATTACCTGCTTATAATTAATTCACTATTATAATTGTTTCTATCATCACTTGTAAATAATTCTAATATAATTGGGACTATAAAAATATGAATAAATTATTGAGAATTTGTTACATCATTTAATTTTGTAAAAGCAATTTATGGACAAAAATACTAAATGGATTGATTTTTTCCAATTTTGAAGATCATTAATATTAAAAAAATTAATAAATTAATAGGTAGTATGCCATGAAGGGTTGATGCTGTTTTAGAAAGTAGAGGAAACCCGACAAGATATTAATTTTTTTTTAATAAATTATAATCAATTTAGAATATTTTCATCGATTTTTTTAATGTCTTTTATGTTTCAAATTAGTGAGCAGTTTGAGGTTGAATCATTTGTAAAAATTTTTACGAATTATTTTTTTCCTCATTAATTAATTCACCAAATGCTCTAAAATTTTAGGAGTAACTAGATTTAAACATGAGACACATTTTTTACTTATACCACAAAGGTTGTTAGAACTTGCTATTGTGGTCAATTTTCGAGTCAAACATTTTTCAGAAAATTCCAAAATTTTCATTTTTATCTTTTAAGGTTTGTAAAACAACAATGTTTTTATTTATATGCGGTGAAACTTCAGTATATTATAATATTTGATATGAAGATTAATTTTTACTTAATAAGCAGGTGTGATTGGGATAGTAAAATTTTTGGTTCTTGTCATGTCACTTTATTCAATTATTTGTAATGATCTGCAGGTGTCCCTATACTTTTGATCAGGAAGTGATTTTGTATTATTAAATAAAATTTGCTTCCGATATCTACTTGATAAAATGAAGCCTCTTCACAATATTAAATTTTTGTGTAATCTAATTGGGCCAATCAATTTTTCTTTTTTGTGTAATCTGATCAATGAAAATCATTACCAATTATAAGAATGTCCACATGCTTTTGTCGATCAAAGAAACATTTCTTATTAATGCCACCTCACAGAAAAGAAAAACAAAGAAGAAAAGAAGATGATTGGGAGGCGATTGCTGGGTAAGTGTTTATCATAAGAATGGTGGTGGCTATCATCACTCTAGTTTAGTTAAAAAGAATGATGATAGTGGTTGCAATGCATTACAACTTGTCATTATTCTAGTTATTATATAAATGATAGTGGCTGTGATGCATTACAACTCGTCATCATTCTAGTTATCATTTTAGAGAATAGTAGTGATTGTGGTCATTATTGGTTGTTCTAAGGAAAATAATAATTATGAAAGAAAAGAGAAAAAATATTGATGAATTGAAGAATCAAGAAAATATTGATGATGAAATTGTTACATATTTATTGAAAAAAAAAAAAAACAATAAAAGTTATAACTAGAATATTAGAAATTTGCAAACAACTTTTGATAGGAAATATCACAGCTACAAAAAGGTAGGTTGTTATATTATTATCATTAGATGAGGAGAAAGAGAAAAGGAAAATAGAAAAAAATAAAAATAATATATATTCTTTTTTATATGATTGATTAGTAGGGAAATCTTTTATAGAGATGTTAACTTATTTAAAAATCAAATTGTTGTTAAGGTAAAAAAAGTTTTTCATAAAAATTTTTTTTTCGCTAGAGAAAAACTCTGATTAATATCAATAAACTTTTAACTTTTAATAATAAAGGTAATTGATCCCTTTTAAAGATATCAAGATATAATCTGAATATTGTAAGTAAACACAATAACAATAATATGTTTATTCATTTATTCATTCATTTATTTAATTTATTTATTTATTAATTATATTTTAAATAGTAGTGTTAGCCATTTAAAAATCCTTAGCCAGCTAAGCTCTTTACTACCTAAATTGGTAATTAGATTTAGTTAAAATTTATTATTATTAATTTTTTTTTTCTAGTCAAATCATTTGATGATAATGAAGATTTAACAATTCCAAATTTTCATTGGATTGGTTTGCATTTTGGTGATAAAAACATGTAAAAATACCCCTTTTTATTTTATGAGAATTTACTAATTTTATTATTATGAACTGATTGCATCCTAATAAGCTTTGTGTAACATTCATGAACAAATGATTGCAATTTTTGATCAAATAACAATAATTTTCTTTAATTTACTTAACAAAATGCCTCCAAATAGGAAATATATGACAATTAAAAGAAAAGCAAAAAAAGAATTGGATGCTGCTAAAAGGTATGCCATTATTTATTTAAAAAGAACGGCCATAGTTATCACTATCTGCCATTCTAGCTAATTATAAATTTCATTTTTTATTCACTCAGCATGAATGAGAAAGAAAATAAATATACTGCTGTTGTTAAGGCTGTCAACCATATTCAAAAAGATAGATCTGCTTATAAGAAGTAAAATATTTACTATCTATCCATTTATTATATATTAACATATACTAATGTTTACTCTGTTATATCCCCCTTTGGTGGGTGTTCTAGATTTTTGTGAGGACAATGTCTCACCTTGTCCAAGTCTTCCTCATGCAAAGTTTTTTCTTTCGGAACAAGAGGCCAATCATTTAATGGGAATAGTGAGGACTGTCATCAAAGAGGGAAAGGAAAATATCAGCAAATCTGCTGAATTTTTTCTTAATAGTCAAATGATTGGGAAGTGTATTTTCCGAAATTTCTTGGTGATCAATGTCAAAATTCTATTAATAAAATTAGCTACAAACCTTAATTTTAACCCTTTTTTGCTCATCAATCTCCACCAAATTTGAGATGCAGATTTTTCAAGACTTATTCCTTCTTTTAGAAAAAAATTAGGAGAGGTATTAATAAAATAGAAAAAAATCTTGGTGCTAAAGTTTATCAACCAAATTACCGCATTTGGAAATTAATTATCTATTTTTGGTTATGACTCCTGATAATCTCCTGCCCACAATTTTTTCCTTTTTGTGTATTGATAAATAAATTTATCAAAATTTAATATGTTTTTTGGAGTTTTTTGCCATTTTCACTAAACTTTAATAAACAACAATCCACATAAAGCTATACCTAAATGAAAACTTACAGTATTTTACATCTCTTCAACCACTCATCAAGTTTGTAAAGGTAATATTGGTAAAAAATCTTAGCTTTGAAGTAAAAAGTAATGCTGTTTTTGAATAAATATAGCTTGACATAGAGAGCCTCTATAATTATGAGAGAGGGCTCATTAGAAAGCTATAACGTCATAGTTTTATCTTTGATTAATAATAATGTTTGAATTTGTTATAAAAATAATGAGATATTTTAAAAAACTGATTTGTTACACAAGTCAGATTTTCTATTTTATATATGTAATTACACCTCCTGTGACATATTGTTTGACTGTTAAAGTGTTATTATTATCAGATTTCACCAGTATTTGACTTCTTGCTAAGAAGCACGGAGCACATGGGATTGCTGGATTATGTAATCTTCTACAAGCATCTGCTGAGAAAATGCAGGTAAATTAAATTATTAATATATAATATGATTTAATATCTTTAGACTGAGAAATTCTTATTTTGCAATAGAATGATGATAAAAAAATCATTCAAGATTATCTCGTGAATATAGATGCTGAAGATGATGTTACTATTTATGTGGGCAAATGTATTGAGGACATGTGAGTTCTTACATGTTATAGGTTATTATATTTAGTATAATCTAAATCCCTTGTTATGATAGTGATGAGTGGATTAATTGCTTTTCTGGAAAAAGTCAATCTGAATGAACCATGGATATGTTTATTGTTGGACCTTATGCAAAAACTCCTTGCACTATTTTTTTATAGTAAGGATTTGGTCATATTTTTTGCCTGTTTCTTTTAATATTAAAATTTTTTTTCTGTTCTTTAAGTGGTGAAAATCAATCTGATGCTGATCATGAAGACAAAACGGAACATTCTGGAACTAGTTGTGTTGGCAAAGCATGTGACTTTTTATATTTGGTATGTACCATTCTGTTCTGGAAAAATCAATAAATTAATTCTAACATAGATCTTTATATGTAGAGTTCATCTCATGAATCAGGTATCAGAGAAAATACCAGACCAACACATAAAGATAATCATGATAAATCAATCTCAAATTTTATTGAAATAATTAAAGTTGCAAATCACAGCACAAAAAACTTGAAAATCATTTAATAGAACAAAGTGGAAAAAATCCTCTTCCTGAGAGTTTACAGAAAGGAATGATGTCCATCTTCATACCATTCTATCAGATTATTGGAATGAAAATTAGATTTTACCTCCTTTTTCAAATAAACAGAGATTTATATGGAATATGGGATTGGGCCTCTGATACGTTTCCGGAAAAAGATGAAAGTGTTAGAGAAGTTGTTTTGCTTTGTAAAGTGTTTTTAATTTATGGTGTATGTTTTTTTTGATTTAAATTGTATATAAGCCCCAATAAATTAATTATAGTTGTTTATCATTTTCGTTCAATAGAATCTTTTGGAGCGAGTTGGAAGATTAACAAATATTCTAACCAAAGAAGCCAAGGGATTTAAACATAAATCTCCTGAGGAATTTCCCTGAAATCCATAAAATTAAATCAACCACAATCACCATAGAAAAAGGTAAATCAGCAAGATATAGATAACTTGCAAAGTATCAGTGTTTATATAACTTAGAGATTGGACCCGTTTAAAAAAACTTCACCTGGGTGACTCATGGGTTTACCCAATGGGTCAACCAGGTAGTGAACAGATCTTTCTATATATGGATTTAATTTACATAAATGATAAAAAAATAACATAGCGTGCTTTATCTGTGATTGGTTGATCCATAAAGAAATTGATTGGATAATTTTATAATATGCCGATCATTATTAAAACTTTCAAGACAATAAATTAAATATATTCTTAGCAATATTTTTTATTTGTAATTGGCAGTAAATAATTCAGCAAAAACATTAGGCGAAAACTCTTACTATAATTACTATGTAATAAACTACACCTATGGTTTGAGACAGCATATCCTATAACATTGAAAACCAACGAATGTATCATTTACTCACCACTTGATATATTAAATTATTACATAGTTCTTATCTAATGATGAAAGATATTGAATATTAGATATTGATATATTAAATCTTGAATAAATTATAAATATTATAAATTATAAATATTAAATTGTATTAAATAAATTATTATAAATTATAAATATTAAATTGTATTAAATAAAATTATAATTATTAATATTTATAATTTATTCATACATTCTCACCATAGACTAATAACACCATTATAACCAACTCATATCTTCTTTTGGTTCAGTAATCCTTTACATGACATGATTTAGAACTATGAAATAGTGCAAGGATTATGATTAACATTTATAAATGTACCTTCTAACAAATTAAATAAAATACAAAAGAATAATTTAAATAAACGTTTTACTCATCCAAATCACTAACCAGAATATTAAACAGAATGTGGGCTATTGGTATTGTTTATGGTCTCTAACAGTTGTTAAATGATTTAATTTATGTTTATTATTTTCAGTGAACATATGATTTTCTAATTGCAAAAAAGACTTCTATAACTAACTTCTGAATTACTTCACT